CTCAGGCAATCCACTCACCTCAGCCTCCCAAAGGCGCGGGATTACAGGCTGAGCCACCGAGCCCGGCTTATTTTATTTTTTAGAGTTAGGGTCTCACTCTGTCACCTAGGCTGGAATACAGCAGTACAATCACAACTCACTGTAACCTCGAACTCCTAGGCTCAAGGGATCTCTCCCACCTCAGCCTCCTAAGTAGCTGGGACTACAGGTGCACACAACCACACTTAGTCAATTTTATTTTTTTTAATAGAGACAATCTCCTTGTGTTGCTCTAGCTGGTCTCGAATTCCTGGCCTCGAGTGATCCTCCCATCTCAGCCTCCCTAAATGCTGGGATTACAGGTGCGAGCCCCTGTGCCCGGCCTATTTTTGTTTGTTTGTTTTAATTTAGATAGGGTGATACTTGAGTAAAAATCTAAAGGAGTTAAAGGAGAATCCTGGGAAAGTACATCCCAGGGAGAGGAAACAGTGAGTGCAAAGACCCTGAGGCAGAAACATGCCTGGGAAGCTAAACCCCATGCTCCCTGTTCCTATGTAGCCACCACTCAGGTCCAGTCTCTGTGGTCACTCCTAGCACTTTATGCCTAGGGTCTTTCTGGTCATAGGAAACTGACCCAGGTGGAACCTTCCAGATTGAGGGAGGGCCTGGAAGAGATTTCTAGAGATGGGCTCTTGGAGAGGTTTCTGCGGTTCAGTTGGGAAACCTTGTTGTAAATGCACATTTCTGGACCATGGTCCAGACCTGTTGAGTCAGAGCCTCTGGGTCTGTGCCCAGGAATCTGCATCTCTCGAAGCCTCTGGGCATCTTTACCATATACCCCCAAATCGATGTCTCTGATTTCTCTCTCTCATGTAGTCTTCCTATGGACCGGGGTAGAGTCTGCCATAGTTCATCTTTCTTAGAAACACGCTTTGAGTTTTTCTTGAGGCACCTCATCAGCCATTTCCTGCCCATGGAAGAGGCTGTCCCTAGGGAGGGTCAGCAGGGATGTTCCGCTCCCAGGCAGAGGAGATGGATCGGAAAAAAATGGTGGGGGGGTCAGAGGGAGATGGGATTTGCTCATCTTAGCACACTCCATCCGCCTCATCCTGTACACAGGGAGCAGGGGGCCTCTTCAGGATAGCAACAGCCCCAGTCAATTATGGGGTCACAGTTGCAGAAATAAAGAACAAAAGAATGAATACATTTTGGTTTTAGCAGGGAAGAGCAGGGGCAGTGGGTTGCGAGTTTGGAAAGACCAACCCTTTCTCTAGCACATGGAAGAAGTCCTAAAAATTATTCACTTCAGCCAGGTGGAGTGGCTCGTGCCTGTGGTTCCTGCACTTTGGGAAACCTAGGCAGGAGAATCGCTTGAGTCCAGGAGTTCAAGACCAGCCTGGCCAACATAGCAAGACCTCGTCTCTACAAAAATTAAAAAAGAAAAAATCAGCCATGTGTGGTGGCTCATGCCTGTAATCCCAGCTACTAGGGAGGCTGAGAGCAGGATCTCCTGAGCCCAGGTGTTGAGGCTGCAGTAAGCCCTGATCGTGCCACTGCCCTACAGCCTGGGAGACAGAGTGAGACCTCGACTCAAAAATAAATAAATATGTAAACAAAAATTTTAAAGTTCTTTTATTTTTATTTTATTTTATTTTTTAGTTAGAGTCTCACTGTTGCCCAGACTAGAGTGCAGTGGCTGCTCCCGTCCACTACAGCCTCGACCTGCTGGGCTCCGGCGATCCTTCTGCCTCAGCCTTCCAAGTAGCTGGAACTACAGGCGTGCGCTACCACACCCAGCTGATCTTTTTGATTTATTGTAGAGATGAGGTCTCGCCTGCCCAGGCGGGTCTCGAACCCCCGGGCTCAGGCAATCCACTCACCTCAGCCTCCCAAAGCGCGGGATTACAGGCTGAGCCACCGAGCCCGGCTTAAAGTTCTTTTAAAACAAGTATTTGCTTCACCTAATCCCTCCATCCCTCTCCCAATCCCCAGCCCACCTCCAGAGGTGGAGGTCCTCTCGACTTAACCCTATTTTCTGGTCTGACACAGAAAGGACAAGAGATTGGGGGGTGGGGGGCAGAGAGTACTCACCTCCAAGAGTCTTCTGAGTTCAGCTCCATCAATCTCCCACCCCTACTGCTCCCACCACCACCACCCACCCTTCTTACTGCAAAGGGTAATAGAAAGGAATCTGAGCCGAACTCGGTGGCTCAGCCTGTAATCCCGCGCTTTGGGAGGCTGAGATGAGTGGATTGCCTGATCCCACGGGTTCGAGACTCGCCTGGGCAACTTGGCGAGCCCTCATGTCTACAATAAATTTTTTTAAATTAGCCGGGCGTGGCAGCGCGCGCCTGTAGTTCCAGCTACTTGGAAGGCTGAGGCGGAAGGATCGCCGG